CCGCAACTTGGTTTGCAAAACCCATGCGGGAGCGATTGCCATGAGTGCTGGGTGTTGGCTGGCGCATCTCTGCGGCCGCGCTCGCCCGCGCAAGCTCGCGCACAGCGGCCAGCTTGTTTGGCGCGACCGACGCGAACGCGGTGGCGCTGACCTCTCGGCACATCCCAGCGGGCACTTCAGTCCGAGTCGGCGACTTGGGCGGTCGCGGTATCATGGCAACGTCGACAACGGTAGACACGGAATGATCGTAGCAATGTTGGTGACGATATTGACAGCGACGACGGGGCAGCCAGTTGCCAGTGACGGCGCCGATGCTTTTCACGCCGATGACGATGACGGCGTCTTCGCGTCGTTGATGAAGGTTTTGGAAGGATTTCGAAATGCGCGCGGCAGACGCGCGAGAGTGGCTCGCACGGTCTTTTTCGGGACGGACCGTGCCACCCCCAGCACGCGCGCAAGGGCGTTTGAACGATTTCGACATGCGCGCGCGAAGCCTTGTTGGCAGCATTGCATGAAAATGCTGAAACACTTTTTATGCTTTTCTGGAGAATTTGCAAGAGCGCGCGCACGCTTTGGTTGAACATCCGCGTTGCGAAACCTTCTTTTTGTGGCTGTTTCTTTTGGGGGACACTCGATTTTGAAATCATTTCGAAACCGAAAGTTGTTGAATGATTGTTGCATGCGCGCCCGACGAGGCGCGTGTGTGCACTTCGACATTGTGTTTTGCAAGGGGTTCTTGAAAACTTATGATTTTTGATCAAGGAGTGCGCGCGCATAGTATTTGTTGCTTGGGAACCGAGGGGGTACCAATACCAGCCTGGTCGGGATATTATGATTTCGCAGGTATGATGGACATTGGGTCAGAATCGAACTTGTTTTGCATAGGTTCCCGGACGTCAAGGGGGGGTGAGGGTGGTAGGTTCTGTTTCTTTTTAAAAGCAGAATCTATGTGCCGCAGTCGTAGGTTGTGCAATTTATGCTGGTATTCTAGATGCTATCCACGTTGTACAAGATATGCGGTGACATCTACATGGTGTAATTCATTTTGGGTATCTTGGAGCTGTCTTCTCCACTCTTCGTGCAACCTTCTTTTTGTGGCTGTTTCTTTTGGGGGACACTCGATTTTGAAATCATTTCGAAACCGAAAGTTGTTGAATGATTGTTGCATGCGCGCCCGACGAGGCGCGTGTGTGCACTTCGACATTGTGTTTTGCAAGGGGTTCTTGAAAACTTATGATTTTTGATCAAGGAGTGCGCGCGCATAGTATTTGTTGCTTGGGAACCGAGGGGGTACCAATACCAGCCTGGTCGGGATATTATGATTTCGCAGGTATGATGGACATTGGGTCAGAATCGAACTTGTTTTGCATAGGTTCCCGGACGTCAAGGGGGGGTGAGGGTGGTAGGTTCTGTTTCTTTTTAAAAGCAGAATCTATGTGCCGCAGTCGTAGGTTGTGCAATTTATGCTGGTATTCTAGATGCTATCCACGTTGTACAAGATATGCGGTGACATCTACATGGTGTAATTCATTTTGGGTATCTTGGAGCTGTCTTCTCCACTCTTCGTGCAAACATCCCACCTTCCCACCCGCAACTTGGTCGCATGACCTCTTAGGGAAGTGACGGTAGGTACCAAATAGCACTTGGCAGCGACACCGACGCCGACGACGACAGCGACAACGACGACGACGATGACGCCGCCAACGCCGACGACGACGACACCGACGACGTTTCCAACGAAGTCGACGACGACGACGACACCGACGACGACGACGCCGCCGACGACGACGATGACAACGCCGACGACGACGACGCCGACGACGCGACGACGCCGACGACGACGACGAAGACGACGACGACGACGCCGTCAAGGAACACGACGACGACGAGGGAGGAGGGAGGCCGACCACGGCGACAACGACGACAACGACGAGGGAGGAGGGAGGACGGCGACGACGCGAACGACGAATAAGGAGGGAGGACGGCGACGCCGACGACGACAACGACGAGGGAGGAGGGAAGACAACGACGACGACGACGACGACGACGGCGACGAAATGGAATGGACGACGACGAGACGCCGACGACGGACGACGACGTCGAGGGAAGAGGAAGGCCGACCACGGCGACAACGACGACGGGAACGACGACGCCAAGACGACGACGACGACGAGGAAAGACAGAGGACGACGACGGCGACGTCGACGCCGAGGGAGGTGGGAGGACGGTGACGACGACGACGCAAGAGCGAGCGCGCACGCTTTTGTTGAACATCCGTATTGCGAAACCTTTTGCTTTTGTGTGTGTTTTTGGATACACGATTTTGATCCTTCCGAAACCGGAGGTTTTTGAAGGATTTCGGCATGCGCGCGCGACGACGTGCGCGTCTGCACTTCGTCCCGTTTTTGCAAAAAACTCTCGCGACGGCACGCGCGCAAGGGCGTTCGAAAGATTTCGACATGCGCCCGCGCGAAGCACGTTTGTTCGTTTTTGCAAACAAAGATTGAAAACATATGGTTTTTTCTCTAGATTTCGCAGGAGCGCGCGCGTAAGCTTTCTTAGAACATCCGTGTTGCGAAACCCAGTGTTTTTTTGTTTGTTTTTTTGGAAATTTGATTTGTCCTTCCCGGACCGAAGTTTTTTTATATATGTAAAAAAAAGATTCCGGCATGCGCGCGCTACGACGCGCGCGTGGGCACTTTGTCTCGTTTTTTTTTTATCGCAAGGGATTCTTGACAACTTCTGATTGTTGATCAACAAGAGTGCGCGCATAGTATATGTTGCCGAGGATGGCGGGGCTGATACTTGTTTGGCAAGGATCGCATGAATCCATACTTCGGATTGGCGATGGGGCAGAATCGTATGTGAAATGCAATGCGAAAAAAGGTGGATCGTGAATTCCATGGGGGGTAGAGTCCATTCTTCGGTTAGAAATGAGAATATATGTGGTGCAGCTCGCCTTGCGGAACTTGAAGTTGACAGCTCCACTGCCCGCTCAATCATCCCACCCACCCGCCCTCAATTTGGCTTGCACGGCCCGTGCGGCGGGGATTGCCATGACTGCTTGACACTGGCTGGCGCATTGCCGCGCCTGCGTTCGCGCGCGCAGGATCGCGCGCGGAGCGGCCAGCCCGTCTGGCGCGTCTGGCGCGTCCGCGGTGGCGCGAACAACTGGGCACTTCCCAGCGCGTCTCGCAGACCGCGCTGACGCGCGGGCGCGTCCGTGCGAGTTGTTGTTCGGGCGGCGCGGTATCATGGCGACGTTGACAACGGCAGGGACGATACCAGTAATGCGATGTTGGTGACGACCGTGACGATTACGATTTCGGCATGCGCGTGCGGCCGACGCGCGCGAGTAGCCCGCACGGTATGGGTTGACAGGGATCGCGTCCCCCCCCACCTGCGCGCAAGGGCGTTCGAATGATTCCGACATGCGCGCGCGTGGGGTGAACGGTCGAATGATATGAGCAGCGTGTTGAAAAACGCAAAGGTTCTCGAATTCACGAGAGCACGCGCGCTCGCAGACCTTTCTTGGAAAACGCATGTTGCAAAACCGTGTTTGTTCAGCACAGGTTTTCGGGACAGTAGTATTTGAAATTCTTGCGAAACGTGTGGTTTTGGACGGAATCTGGCATGCGTGCGCGACGGCGCGCGCGTGTGCACCTCGTCCCTTTCTTTGGCAAGGTATTTTCTTACATTGACGATTTATGATGCACGATTTTTCCCGAATGGTGTTTTTGCAGAGGATGGTACGGGAGAGGGTCGAACCCGTTTGGTTGGGATGGTCAGAGTTCATATTTGTATTGAACGACGGATCGAAATCATATGTACATGGCACGTTCCCACGGGGCGTAAATGACCCTCTTTCGGGTGGTAGACCCGACTCCTTTTCGCACTAAGAGGAACACCGCTGTGATGTAATGTATGTGGAGCAGCCCATGTGGTGCAATATATGTAGTGAAACCAACATGGCGCAATTCATTTGGAACAAAACACGATGTGCAATTTATGTTGGTGTAGTCAATGTTGTGCCAGTTATGTAGTGCGGCAGTCTATGTGACGCAACATATGTGGCATGTCGTGCAAAGTATGTTGTGCAATTTCAGCGGTGTTATTTCGGTGGTGCAATCTTTCGCTCAATCTTTCGAGGTCGTTCAGTTTAGGTGGTGCAATATTTGCAGGCGGCGACGAGGCAGCGACGGGGTGGCGACGATGGCAACGTGCCCGCCAAAAAGACCGTCATGCCCAGAACGACAGGCGGCGACGAGGTGGTGACGGGGCGGCGACGGCAGCAACATAGCCGCCAGACCGACCGACAGGCCCAGACGACGGGTGGCGACGAGGCGGCGACGGGGCGGCGACGGCGGCAACATAGCCGCCGGACCGACCGGCAGGCCCGGACGACGGGCGGCGACGAGGCGGCGACGGGGCGGCGACGGCGGCAACATAGCCGCCAGACCGACCGACAGGCCCAGACGACGGGTGGCGACAAGGCGGCGACGGGGCGGCGACGGCGGCAACATAGCCGCCGGACCGACCGGCACGCTCAAATGACGGGCGGCGTCGAGGCGGCGTCGGGGCGGTGACGGCGGCAACATAGCCGCCAGACCGACCGGCATCATGTCCAGCTTTTTCCCACAAGTAAGAACTCCTAAGTGCAAGCACGTACATACATATAACACATGGAGATAGAGAAAGAGAGAGAACAACAAAAAGAGAGGGAGAGAAGTAAACATAGAGAAACAGAGACACCGCGAGAGAGAGAGAGAGAGAGACAGAGAGAGAGAGAGAGACAGAGAAAGAGAGAGAGAGAGAGAGAAAGAGAGCGAGAGAGAAAGAGAGAGAGAGAGATACCGAGAGAGAAATAGAGAGAGAGAGGGAGATGGAGAGGGATAGAGAGAGACAAAGAGACATACCGAGAGAGAGAGAGAGAGAGAGGGAGAGAGAAAGATAGAGCAGGAGACTATGATACATCTATTTATAGTTCCCGTGAGCCGCAGGAGCTCTGGCGTCACCATATGGGTGAGCCACCCCGGGATACCGAGTGAGCGCCGCCGAAGGCATCCTTCGTCGTCGTTGTCGTCGTCGGCGCAGGGGGAGGGGGAGGAGGAAGAGGAGGATGCGAATGAGGAGGAGGAGGAGGAGGAGGAGGAGGAGGAAGAGGAAGAGAGGATGAGAAACAGGAGGACGTACCATCGCTGCAGTCGATGTGTAAAGCTGAGCAACTGGGAGGACGAGGCCAAAGATGCGGCGGAGGTCGAGCGGGGAGAACGGCGACGGACCTGTGGGCGTGATGCGCGCGCGTGTATGTGTGTGTGTGTGTACAGAGCCGTCTTTAATACATGCTCCGCGTGCGGATCATGTATTAAAGGCAGGGATTCAGCATTACAGAACAACGACGAGTTCGTGCATATTGTTTCATACATTGATCTTTTTTTAAAAATCCGATATGTTTTAAAATCCTATGTATAAACAACTGCCCTGTATGTATGTATCGAATGGGGTCGAGGGCCAGAGAGCGCCTTCCCTTTTAGGGCCACCAAACCAGGGAAGTCAGGGTGACCAAACGTCTCGTCGGCCACCCAGCTGCAGCCACCCAGCCGCACTTGTAGTATCCTCCTTCCCCTCCTTCTCCTTGTCCTTTTCCTCCTCCTCGCCCTCGTCCTCCTTCTTCCTCGCTCCTGCTGTGTCTCGCGATTTGAAGGGAGTGCGATCTGCTTCGCAGGTCCAGCTGATGACCGAGATGGGCGCAGCTGTTACTCCAGGGCCCGAGCATGGGTGAAGAAGCGCCCGGTTAAACATTGTGCAACGTGCGTGTGGTCAACTCTCACTTGCGTTTTCGCTGGCAACTCTGAGGTAAATGTTGGTCAGGGTTGGCAGGCCGAGGTTCATGTGTGTACAGGTGTGTGTGTGTGTGTGAGTGTGTGTGTGTGTGTGTGTGCATCGGCCGTTGTCCTATTACCGTTGCCGCTGCTACCCGCTTGACCGCTGCGCGGTCTGACGCTGCCCCGGCCATTGCCCGATGGACCGCCCGTGGCGCCGCGCGCGGCCGCCTCGTGGAAAGCGTGTGCAGACGGAAGCCGTGGCGCTGGCCTGCCAGCCGGTTGCTTCCGATTCGCGAGCACCGCACCCGCGGATGGCGCATGCAGAAGAAGCGAACCTCAGGGGCGACGCGAACCTTTGGGCAACGGCGCACCCTCGAAAGATCGCAATTTTACCCTCCCCATCCTCGAAAGCTAGAGGGCGCGGGAAGATCGCGCATGCAAAAGGGGGGGATGGGCTCGGGGGGGTGCATCGACCCCCAATCGCCCATTCGTCGCCGATGGGGGCCCGATCGCCACCCCGTCGGGGAACGTGCGGTTTCGCTATCGGGGGCCTGTCGCCGATCTGTTGGGGATGTATACTGCCGATTCCAGCTCGCTGTTCCTCCCCGTGAGCCAGCCCACGCTACCGTGTCCACTCAGAACCGCATTGGCAGCGCCCACGTTGTTTTGGAAGTGCGCGCCAGGAGCGGCGCCGGAGGCGCCGCCAGGGGGGGCTGACCCGAGAAATTCACGCGGAGTTTTGAAAGTTTACCCTTGTGTTGTTTTTCTTCCATCTGGGAAGTTCTCCAATGTCGGGTATGGCCAGGACCCCAGGTAAGGGGACCGGGTCAGTAGTTGGGCCCCAGAGTTTCTAAATTGGCCAGAATCACTAAAGCATGTCTGCCGTACCATCTGGGGCGTGAAGCGGGGCCCGCGCCGTGCGCACCCCCCGAAGGCAAACCATTTTTGGGCGACCCACTGTGCTTCAAAGCATCTGCCCTGCACGGCTGTGGCACTCAACCCTGGAGAACCCTGGAAAGCCCTGGAAGTTTATTTGTTTGTGGAATCGGGATCCAGTCTCTTCAGCCTTGGGAGGCCAAAGCCCCTCTATCGCTCACAACTGTTTGACCTTTTCGGGCACCCCTCTACGTGGTCAACGGACGGACTTGACTTGTGCATTCTAAACGCCTCGCGTAACTCCACCAGCAAATCCAGACACGATGCCCAGGTGAGTTGTCCTGATCAGGGATGTGGAGGAGCATGCAGTGGAATGCAGTGGAATGAAGGGCTTGGGAAGCCGCCGTACCCGACGAGGGGGAGGATTGAGGATGGATCGGATGAGGAGAAGGAGGAGGGGGAGGAGAGGGAAGGAGGGGGAGCAGGGAGGAGGGAGGAGGAGGAGCAGGCGGATGAGGAGGAGGAGGAGGAGGAGCAGGCGGATTAGGAGGAGGAGGAGGAGGAGGAGGAGGAGGAGGAGAGGCCAGAGGATGTCGCTCGGAGTCTCTTCGGATGTCTCTTGAGAGTCTCTTGGGGTCCTGCTGGAGCGCCTTGGGGGCCTCTTGGCGGTCCCAGGGGCCTCTTGGAGCGTCTGGGGTGCCTCGGGAGAGTGACTTGAGGCCTCTTGGGGGTCTCTTAGGAACCTCTTGGGGACCTCCTGGGGGCCTCCTGGGCGCCTCTTGGGGCCGTTCGGGCCATCTTGAAAGAGATCGATCAGAGAAGGGAGGGGGGAGTCAATTTCACCCTCCCCCATCTAGGAGGCCAGAACTGGCCCAACACCTGCGTAAAATCAATGAGTTGTGCCTTCTCGCCAAGGCTTTCTTGGACGCTCTAATCGGTGGTGGGGTAAAACCCTCCACGAAGGAGAAAAAGGAGGTTGGAAGAGGAAGCGCTCTAAACCACTCACGTCCTAAAGGGTTGGTGGGATTTCCTCCAGGGTTGCGTGCGAGCACCTTGAATTTGGAAGTACGTCGTGGTGCTTCAATGATCGCTGTGCGGCGCCGCCTCGGCCGCAGCCTCGTCTCTTGAGACGTGGGCCGCATTATGAACGAGTGTGCGTGTGTGTGTGTGTGTGTGATTGTTTTTTTGGTGCAATGTCTCCCCAATCAAAGCTGTGCGTAGCCCGCCTAGCTTTTAGCGGAAGAGGTTCGCTCTCGCCCTGCCGACCCAAAGTGTGTGTATGTGTGTGTGTGTGTGTTTGGGTGTCTGGTCTTCGGCCTCGGGCCTGAGCACCCCTGCACCCCTCGCACCCGCCGGTGCCCCCGGCTCCCCCGCCACGTTGGGGCTTCTGCTTCCCCCGCTCCCTCGCCTCGCGCAGCTACCACACCCGCGACGCCGCGCGGAATTCTGCACCCCTCGCATCCGCCAGTGCCCCCGGCTCTCCCGCCAAGCTGGGGCTTCTGCTTCCCCCGCTCGCTCGCCTCGCGCAGCTACCACACCCGCGACGCCGCGCGGAATTCGTGCCAGTCTGCTGCCCAATCTGCCCTGTGGTGACGTCGCTCTGCCAGCGGAGGCATCAGTGCGTGCACGAATGGGCTCCACCCGAAGCTCCTCCGCGCCGTCTGCTGTTGTTTTCTGGCTGATCCTCCCGCATGCGCGTAGATTCCCGTGTGTAGGTATGCGCACGCTCCTTAGTGTGTGTGTGTGTGCGTTTGTGTGATGTGTGTGTGATGTGACTGTGTGTGTGATGTGTGTGTGTGTGTGTGTTTGTGCGTGCGTCGTGCGTGCGTGCGTGCGTGCGTGCGTATGTCGATAGATGGTCGCGTCCATTCCGTTCTCTGCTTGAGTGCGTTTTGCCTCCTCTCAGCCGTCTTCGACTCACGCCTGCTGGTTCAACGCACCCCCGTGCGTTCTTCTCTGCAGTAGTTTTTTTGTTTTCGGTAAGCGCTTGGCCTTCAAAGGAGGCAGAGCTTGTACAGTTCGCATATTGAGACATCGCGGCGGCTGCAGTCCCTAAATAACATTGCTCTTTCGCCGCGCCCTCTTGCGATGCATGATTACTCAAGGGAGGAGAAACCACCCCGACCCTCACAGTTGGCGTTTACTACACGGCCCTGGGCGTTGAACTAAACAGCTCGGCCCTCTTCGATTCATCTCTTTGTGCGTTTACAAGGCTGTTTCGCTCGTCGGGGTGCTTATCATGAGGGTGGGTGGTTCTCGTGCTCTCTCATTACCAGGTGCTGATTCATCTCTTCCTTGGATGCCCCTGACATCGTTTCTGCTGGTCAGTTGGCAAGTTCATCACGCGCAGGCTTTGCCTTGTGGTTTTTGCTCGCCTTGTGCATGAAGGCCTGTGGCGATTGCCGTCTTGGAGGCTCCTCCAGGAGGTTCCTTTCGCGTCCTCGGGGTTCCTCGCAGGTTCCCCAGAGGTCTTCGGGGTTTCACTCGTATTCCGTGGTTGTTTTGCTTTGCCTAGCCAGTGTTTGCTTTGCTCAGCCTTGTCTTTTGTTTGTTTTGCTTTGCAAGCCAATGCTGTGCGATGCAATCCACAGTTGTAATACAGATAACTGCGTGTCTGAATTTAATGTTGTTGTGTACGTGCTTAGATCGATGTATACATGTGGACACACTTCGATGTATTGCCTAACGCTGCATTGCCATGTCATGCGATACTATGCACTGCAGCGCCGTGCAATTCTTTGCTTTGTTAGTGCTTCGCTGAGCGATGCTAGACTTGCCTATGCTGCGTAAAGGTATACAGTGGCGTGTGATGCAACGTACTAGTGTACAATCGTGTCACGTGCGCTGTAGTGCGCAATGTTATGCGATATAACGCTGTTCGTCGCTATGATGCGGCATGCATGGTGGCGATATGCTTTTACAGGGTATGTCAAGCAACGTCATGCAATGCACTTGCCGTCTCATGACTGTTCCATTGCATTGCGTAGGTCTGCCTTTAAACAGACATAATGCTCTGAGCTCGAGTCGCGTCGGCGTCGTCGCCATTTCATCTGCACCTGCCCTCTTGACGCTTTTGTGGTATCCCTCGCGTTGTCCCCGTCTGGCTTGCCATTTGCCACGTCCGAGGCACATTCAGTGTACTGGCGAAGCGATGCGTTTTCCAGCCTGCCGCACCTTTGTCTGGTTGCTGCCTCCCGTGGCGCCCCCTCCTCTTCCTGCCTCCTTGTCTTCCTCCCACGCCTCCTCCCTCCGTCCTCATCTTCACCCCTCTTCATTCCGACCCGTTCACCCCTCCCTCCTCTCTCCTCCCTGCGTCCTTCTCCCTCCCTCCTCCCTCCCTCCCTCCTCCCTCCTTCCTCCCTCCCCCCTTCCTCCCTCCCTTTCCCCTGCTCCCCCCTCCCCTCCTTCCATCATTCCCTTTTGCCTCCTCCCTTCTTCACCACCTTTCCCTCTCCCTCCTCTATGTCTTTCCTTCCTTCCTGCCTCACTATTTCTTCCTTCTCCACTTTCCCCCTCTGCCGCCGCTGGCGCGCGCGCGCTCCCGCGCGCGCTTTTCTGACAGGGCAGCATGGGACGGTTGGACAGCCTCGGCACGCAGGCATCGGAGGACGCCGCCTGTTGTACCCCCTCGTCAGTTTCTCCCTCCTCGTCGTCCATCCCTCCTCCCTCCCTCTCTCCCTCTCTCTCTCTCTCTCCCCTTCCCCTGGTGGAGGGAGGAGGACGACGAGGAGGAGGAGGAGGAGGAGGAGGAGGAGCAGGAGGAGGAGGAGGAGGAGGAGGAGGAGGATGAGGAGGAGGAGGGGGAAGGGAGGGGAGGGGGAGGGGGGGGAGGGGAGGGGGAGGGGGAGGGGCGGAAATATATGAGAAATGGGGAGGATGGGCGAGGGGGGAGGGGATTGATGACGACGACGAGGAGACGGAGGAGGAAAAGCAGGAGGAGGGTGGCGATAATGAGGGCTCCGTAGGTGAGGAATCTCAGACAGTGGCGATAAAATGAAGAACTTATGGGATTCGGACATATCGTCCAGATTCTTCAGCCTCCGCAGTCACTTCGGCGACGTTGCCATTTTTCGCAAGCCATCTCTTGTGGCTTTTTGTTATGGTCAAGCGCCCATTGATCACACTTGATCGATCCTTCTCTGTATCCAATGCCTCGGGCTTCCCACACCTTATAAGCGGGTGAGATGTTTCGCGATGTCTGGGGATTTGCTCTTTTTCGTTCTTGTGTATCGAGAATAGCATCATCCAGGGGCGCCCAGCGTCTAGCCTCATGTATGCCATCTCGTCACACACGTTCCGCACAGACATGTGCAACGTGCTGGAACCTCGAATGCGAAGGGCGACGGGAGTATGTGCAGACGACGTGGAAGCTGAGCTTTGTGGGCTGGTACATGTGCGTCGATTGAAAGGTTTTTTTCCGGTGTGAGCCAACAGTTTCTCGGCTTGGCTTTGAAGGTCCCCCATGGTTGCATCGTGCCGATTGGAGGCCCGTGCGCTCATTTGTTGGTTCAAGTATGCAAAGGCTGGCCTGCCGCCAGCCTCCCTGAATGGGAGGCCTTCCAACTTTTCTCGTTATTTCCATCTTTGGGTCCTGGAGCGCGTCACAAAGGTTTTGCAGACCCACACTGAGAAGTTGTATCGAAGGGGGTATGAGATCGCCAGTGCCAGACAGCCGGCGACTGCCACCAATTATGTTTACAGCAAGCGACCGTTCCCACCCTCAGCTCAGTCTCTCAGTTTGTGCGTATCCCGAGGGAGGATACTTACCTTTCCTTGAACATACATTCCATTCAAGCGACCTTAGTCAGGTTTCCATATTGTTTTCTGTCTCGCGGCGAGTTGGGTGGACCCCAGATCGCGAGCATCGCGGTAACGACGCGGGCTGCGCTAGATGGACTCCCCCGTTCGAAATTTTGTTCGGCCCCTCTTGGAGGCGTCTGTCTGTCCCTCTTGGACATCTGACTGGGGAAACTTTGCCCCGGCCGCTGGCTGAATGTTCCGCTCGTTGAGAATATTCCGGAGGCGGCCGCGGGATTTGTTGGCGATCAGGGCCTCGGCGTCGCAGGCAGTCGCTCGCTGCGCACTGCGCTCGGCATGTTGATCGAAAGCGAGACTCTGAGTCAGCTCGATCAGAGGCCAAAAGCTCAGAGTTCGATCGCTGAGTGCCTTCGCAGCCATATTTGCCCGATGCGTTTCCGTGTGTGCTCCTTCGGCGTCTTGCGCAATGGTATCTGGCTTTGCATGGCAGCGTTGCGGCCGTCGAGTGGTCCGAACAGGTCCACGATTAGTCTCGGTTCTGTTGCAATGAAGACCCCCTCGGGCTCGTGGATTGCCGCCGCGAGGCTCCGCGATGCAAGTGGATGCCCCGATGCGGGGGCCAGGGCACCTACTTGCACGATCGGTCTCTTAGCTTGCCATTAGTTGATATTGTGCTCGATGTTCTGTCCCACCCCTCTTCCCGCGTGTCCCGCGGAGCGTTCTGGCGCGCGTTCTCCGTGCCATTCTTCTCTCGGGTCATGGGCGGCCGCCGTTTTATCGCGCGACGCATTGGCCGCTCTCGATACTTGGGCCACTCCTGCTCAAGTGGCCGTTTTGGCCCAAGGAGCCCTCTTGGCCCAAGTCGTCGCCGTCGAGTGCCTCGCCGGCGCGCCTCGGCCTTGAAGCGCCGCGCCGGCGATGCTCGAGGAGGCGGGGAAGTCGAAGGCGAATGGGGGCAGAACGACGCGGGTGAAGAGCGCGCGCGAACGACGCGGATGAAGAGCGCGCGCAGTGGAAGAGCGCGCGCGAACGACGCGGATGAAGAGATATAGCGCTCGGAGGCGGGCGAGCCCGCTCCCGGCTGGGCCCGCCTTGCGCGGGAGATGATGGCCGCGATGGCGGGGGGGGCGACGCCGCGGCGCGTGGCGTGGAACGAGCGAACGAAGGTGAACGCCGACCTGGGGCGCGCCTCCGATGGCCGCGCCCGACCGCCTTCGCGGGCGGGCGCGCGCGAGGCGGCGGCGCTGCGGCGCAGAGTGGGGACGAGTGAAAAAGGGGGGGCGGGGGAGAGGTCAAAGGCGAAGGAGGAAACGACCGCTGCGCACCAAGCGCGGAGAGAGCGCGCGGGGCGAGGGCGCGGCCGCTGGGAGTGGGCCGCAGGGCTCCGCCGCCGGGCCGACGTGCGCGCGCTTGCACCGCGCGCGGAGGGGCGCCAAAAAAGGGGGGGGGCGCGGCGAGCGGGCGCCGACGTGCAGGAGGGGGGGGGCGGAAGCAGCGGCAGGCAAGCGCGCGCGTTGGGGGCGGGCGGGGGGCGGGCGGAGGGGGAGGCGGGGGGCGTCGGCGGCGGTCGGCGGGTCGTCGCGGGTCGTCGCGGGTCGGGGGTCGTCGGGGCCGTCGCGGGCCACTCGCGCGCTGGGCCAGCGGAGGCGCCGGCCCAGGGCGCGAAGGGCGAGGCGAGGGGGGCCGAGGTGACGGCGGCCGCGGCGGCGACAGACAGCGCGGGCCCGGCCGCGGTGCGCCGGACGCATTGGAGGCCAAGTCAGAGAGCTTAAGGCGCAGTTCTGGAGGCCAGCGCGGCCCGCGCGGGGCCGGGGCAGGCGGCCGCGAGGGGGGGGCGGATGAGGCGAGGGGCAGGGCGGTTTTGTAACGGGCAGTTTCCTTGAGATTTCAACGTCGGGGGCGTCGCGGCATTCCTGGCAGGGGTGGTGGGGGGGGCGAGGAGGGGGGCGGGAGAGGTGTTCGCGCGCGGCGGGGAGTTCGCCGAGCGCGGGGCGGTCGGGTTCAAGGCGTCAGGGACGACGCGGGGGCGCATTCAGGCGAGGTCTTGGACGCGCGCGCACATGCGCGAGGCCCGGGGGCCCAGAGCGCGGGCCCGCGATCAGGCGACGCCAGGGCGAGAGGGGGGGCAGTCTGGGCGCTGGCCCAGACTATCATCGGCAGCCGCGGCGGCGACGGGGCCGCGGTGCAGCGGGGCGTCCACGCCAACTGCGCGCTGGGGTGGCGCGGTGGATGGGTGGCGGGGCGGGGGGGGGGGCGGCGGGCCCGCGCAGCTCCAGGGGGGGGGGTGGCCCAGCGCGAGGTGAAGTTCGACTTGTCGCGCGCAGCGGAGTTTTTTTGGGGGGTCGAGTCGAGGTGGGGGTGGGGGTGGGCTCTGTAGGGAAGTGGATGGTGATGCGCCGATGTTCTGTTCTTCCCCATGGCCAGAGTCTCGATGCCAGCGCTCGACGCCGCGGCTGAGCCCCGGGCCCCAGAGCGGAGCGCGTGCGGCGCGGGCGTCGACGGGCGTCGACCGCATCGCGGAGCATTTCGTCAAATCCATTGCAATGCCGATGGGATGGAGGAGGGGCGACTTCAGGACGTGGCCGATGTCCTGGGCGCTTCCGATCCGCGGGGTGCCCCGCTGCGTCGGGAAGGGCCGTTCGCCGACGGACGCGCAGAGGCTTTTCTGTTGGAACATGGCCACTTCTGGCGTTGTTCGCCCCCCGGGGGCGCAGGCTTTTTTGGTGGCGCGGGAGCCTTATTGCAGCGTCAGGGCCCCCATGGAGTTGTTCGGTTTCGCTTTTCATGCGAGTCTGCTTCGCTTCGTGGCTGCGCGATTTTTATAGCATTGGGTGTTCTGGCGATGTTTGCGACGCAGCGACGGCGTTGAGCTGGGCCCGGAGGCAGCAGCGGCGACGGGAGCGGCGATCGAAAAGCGATTGTTCGCGGACGATGGGAACGTCGTCGGTCCGCATCGGCGCGGCCGCCGCAGTCGCAGGGGCCACGCTCCGCGAGGCTCGCTCAACCGCCGCGGCGGCGCCTCGACGCGCCGCGGGGAGGCCCTTGGACTCGCGAGGTGTATAATTGCGGGGCCCGCCGGCAGATCGATTGCATCTTCGTGGAGCGGTCAGACAGATATGGCGAGATCCGCGCCGGCGTGGGGCGGCCTCGAAGGGGAGTCAAACCGCGGCGCGGTGTTTGCGAGCATTCGTGCGCTACCAGAAATGCTGCCGCGGGCGGGCAAGGCCCGGGCCCCCGCGTGGTGGGGGGCCATCGCAGCGCCGCGCCCTGTTGGCAGGCGGCCTCATCGAAGGGCGCCAGAATTTGGCGGAAGCAATTGACCTGGGCGCGGGGACGGCCCGCGGCGGCGGCGAGACGAATCAGGCACCTAGGCGGGAGCGCAGCATCGAAGTCGAGGCGCTCTTCGCTGTCAGACGCAATGGGCAGGGTGCGGGGGCGAGAAAGCAGATCTCGAAAAGACTTCGGCGCGCGCTCCAGGCGGAGAGACGGGCGCGGCAGGATCGATGAATTCGGATGGTGGCTGAACTGGGTCACGTTTTGAAGCTTCCCCGAAGTGCGCTGCAAGGGCGCGGGGGCGACGAGCAGACCGGCGCCGTCGTGAACACGGGCGGGGGCGCGGTGTCCGACAGCGCTGGCGTTGCAGAGGGCGTCGTGCAGTTCCGCGAGGGCCCGCGCCCCGGCTGCGCGATGGGGGGGCGGGTCATGACATGAGGATGGTCCTCCTAGCCCTCCGAAACGACGCCACACGTCTGTGGTGAACAGAGGCGCGGGGTTCTCACCACGTCACCCCTGGGAGACCAAACAGTGAAACGTATGCGTCATAGCACCACCCGCAACACCATATAGCAT